TCAAATACTTTTTAGGAAAGAATAATTTGCGTCATGCTATTGTGATTCCTAATGTTTTTATGAAAATAACTATTTTTTTGTTGCGCTGTTAGTCTGAAAGTAATAGAGATTGAAGTTTTTCCGTATTTCTTCTAAATTTTTTTCTCTTATAGTATATAGAGAAATACTCAATACGTTGTAGAGAATTGAACGAAGAATCTTTTAAGAAACAATAAGTATAAATGATGAAAAAACTATTAAGGAAATACTGAGACCGCCCTTTATTCGACCGCACTCGTTACAATCACTGAATTATTGAAAGAAGAAAAACAATGATCATGGTACTGATAAAATTCTATTAGTGTTTGCTGCTATTAATGTAGTTTTCATATAACTGGCATTGATATTTATGACTTATTAATACAAATTACTGATACCATGGTTTGATGTGTGGTTTGCATGAATGTAGTATATTTCTAAGTACCTAGTCTAGTCTCTTCCAATATTTTAAAATAAATTGTGCTTTATCGTAAGAATAGGGTCAAATTATAGGTCAATTAACTATGTAAAACAAGCCACTGTTTTGCACTGGCCAAGTAGCTGTATGTGCTTTCATGATCACCTAAACAAAACATGCCGTGCACTTAGGAAAGTCAGAGTACCTAATTAACTTCCATCTCCCTTTTGGTGAAATGATAAACGGAAGGAAAACAACAAAAACTATCACACGTTAAACTTTTTTGCGAATAAAGAGTAGTTAAATTTATGCGTGTGTCCGCTTACCACAATAAAATTTCTCATACGACATTTATTGTTTACTTTTATAATTTTTTCCCGTATATTATTAATCATTTTTATTGCTAAAACAATGAAATCATGTACAAAGTTTATATTATTTCAGACTGCTAGAATCATGACTAGCTAGTATGTTTAAAAGTCTTATTTAGATTTCTTTACACATGTGGTTGCTTTTATTGTGTGTACGTTGTTCATAACTATAATTAGTTTTATTTTATTCTTCTGTTGGACAAAAATAAAACTAATTGTATTACAAAGCTTATAACTAACAAATACGATCTAAGTTTTCCTTATCGAAAATTTGCCGTAGTGAAAACTTTTTGAAGTTACTATGTTATCTTCCAGTAAGAAAATTTTGATTCTCTACACTAACTGTCCTGAAAACAGGAGTTAAACGTGCTTTTTGGAAAATGCGCTATAATGTTTCTTTCTCGACTGCTCAGAAAAAAGGTTTCTTTTCGCAAGGTTTATTAGGTATCATCCTTAATATGCGATGAACAATCGACGAATTTGCTGTAGGCAGGGAGAAAGTATGAAGTACTCGGAAATTGTTTTTCCTGTCGTACATTTATTTTTATTGAAAACTATATGTACTTTTATAACGTTTATCCTAAAAGACCGTCAGAAATGCTAAAGAAATTACTCAATATCGGAGTCGTGAAGTCGTTAACAACACATCATGAGAGCACTGATGTTGAAGCTGCTAAAGATTATTATTTTCTTCATTTGAGTTTTCAAGAACTTTTTGCAGCACGATACTTGGTGAATGCTCTACACGATCCGAAAGGTCAACATTATCAAGAAGCGGTCAACTTTATCCAGTGTGAAAAGTATAATCAACGTTATTTACTGGTGTTCAGGTTTACATCGGGTCTATTAAGTGCAAACGACTCTTTATCATTATCATGCTTAGAAACATTTTAGCAGGCAATGACATCTGTTCCATTAGACCTGATCAGCCCAAGGCACATGCAGCTGGTTATCCGATGTCTTGAAGAAGCTGGCACCGACGCTAGAATTCCTCAACGGGCATTATGGATGCAGCATATATCGAAGTGGCTACAATGCGCTGCAAACGATAACGACGGTGATAGGCTTTTCTCGTGGTTGATTAGATCTCTTCAACAGAGCCCTTTAGTTCTACGTGAAAGGATAATAGTCAACACCTTGAAGGACTTACTTCAGAATAAAGATCACGATGTGAGACAGAAAATGAGCAAAATAATTCTCCATTTGGACGTCAATGGTGACTTGTCGGACTTGAAAATCGAGCTGCTGGCTGCTCTTAGCGATGAAAATACACATTTCAGACGGAATGAAGCTGCAGCTCTCCGAAAAGTGGGTGGAAGAGCAGCCACACCGGATGTGATCAAAAGATTGTTGACTGAACTTGGCAATAATGATTGGATGGTCAGATATAATGCAGCTGAAGATCTCGGAAAAACCAATGTAAGCGCAGCCACGCCAGACGTGATCAAACGATTATTCGCTGCACTTTGTGATAATGGGCGGATTGTGAGACATACTGCAGCTCTCTCTCTCGCGATAATGAGTGGAAATACAGGCACACTAGACGTGATCAAAGGATTGTTGGCTAGACTTGGCGACGAAAATTCTGATGTCAGAAGTTCTGCAGCTGAAGCTTTAGGAAAAATGGGTGAAAATGCATTCACGCCTGACGTGGTCAAAGGATTGTTGGTTGCACTTGGCGATGATAATTGTGATGTCAGAAGTGCTGCAGCTAAAGCTCTAGCAAAAACGGGTGAAAATGGAGGCACGCCAGAGATCATTAAGGGATTGTTGACTGCACTTGGCAATGCAAATTGTCATGTCAGACGTACTGCTGCTGAAGCTCTCAGTAAAATGGGTGGCAATGCATCCACGACGAACGTGGTCAAAAGATTGTTGGTTGCACTTGATGATGACAATTGTGATGTCAGAAGTGCTGCAGCTAAAGCTCTCAGCCAAATAGGTGGAAATGCAGGCACGCCAGACGTGATTAAAAGATTGTTGGCTGCACTAGGCGATGAGAAATACCTTGTTAGAAGTCCTGCAGCTGAAGCGCTCGGGAAAATGGGTGGAAATGCATCCACGCCGGACGTGATCAAAAGATTATTAGCTATACTTGACGATGGAAATGCATGCGTCAGACAAAGTGCAGCTAGAGGTTTGTTGTCACCTTCTATGTTGCCCCAGTTGAGTGCTGATGCGATTTCGAAACTTACTGGGATGAGACGGCTATGGATTTCTTGCTTTTCTATTAAGTTATCTGAACTGATTAGCAGATTGTTGGAAACACAAAGGAATTATTGGCTCCCGCTCATATTTTTTGTTGCCTTGAATGAAGCAAGCGCTATGACTGTTACCAGATAATTCATCACTCTAAATAATTCATCGCTCTCTGTATTACGAAAGTGAAATACCTCGCGTGTATCGTTATGGTAATATCTAATACCCTCTCTGGTAACAGTCATAGCGCTTGCTTCATTCAAGGCAACAAAAAATATGAGCGGGAGCCAATAACTCCTTTGTGTTTCCAACAATCCGCTAATCAGTTCAGATAATTTAATAGAAAAGCAAGAAATCCATAGCCGTCTCATCCCAGTAAGTTTCGAAATTGCAGCAGCACTCAACTGGGGCAACATAGAAGGTGACAACAAACCTCTAGCTGCACTTTGTCTGACGCATGCATTTCCATCGTCAAGTGTAGCTGATAATCTTTTGATCACGTCCGGCGTGGCTCCACTTCCACCTATTTGTCTTAGACCTTCAGCTGCAGCACGTCTGACATCACAATTTTCATCGCCAAGTGCAACTAACAATCCTGTGATCACGTCCGGCGTGGATGCATTTCCACCCATTTTCCCGAGCGCTTCAGCTGCAGGACTTCTAACAAGGTATTTCTCATCGCCTAGTGCAGCCAACAATCTTTTAATCACGTCTGGCGTGCCTGCATTTCCACCTATTTGGCTGAGAGCTTTAGCTGCAGCACTTCTGACATCACAATTGTCATATTAGAGGGCAAACAGTACATGCGTTTTCGAGATCAATGATGAGAAGAGGTCGCAACCGGGTAGTTCCGCACAGGTACGCCCACTTTATACGTGACTTAAAGCCGGCAAGGTTTGACTATATGTGAGCGATAGTCCTACCAAAAGTATATTAAGGCGACCGAGCATCCCCTGAAAAAATTATTCCAAACACGGCTTTTCCTCAATTATAAGTTTTGAATTGAAGTTTTCTTAGTTTTGCTGGAACACCGAAATATGACCTTACGTAATACTGTCAAGTGTTCTCATACTGCCGACTAGAGAGAGCATACAAAGTTGCATATTTCTATCAGGAAATGAGGTTGTCCCATTTTACATTTCGAAAGAATTTTTGATTGGAGAGCCTTATCGGCCTCAGCAAATATCGCTCATTTTATAACGTCTTTAACGAGCTCAAAATCTAACAAAACATAACTTTGTTTATAATCGCATGACTTCCAAGTTTGCTCGCATGACGCAAGAATGAGGTCTCCAGCACTTTTTACTTCTGCATGGTATGCGTACCCCTGAGAGCGCCTACTTTGGCGCTTCCTGGCTACCTCTTCTCTTGAAAATTATACGTCAACTGTTCGAGATCTTGTTACCCCACACACTACTCGACTAATACTGCAAACGGCGCAAGATATTGACTTTGTTCAGGTTGTTTTTCTTGTAACTATTTTCTAGAAACCCCGTCGAAATCCTTTCATCTGACTAGTTTTAGGAACAGGAAAGAATACCTAATTATCCATAAATTCACATGCTGAATCTCAGAGTATTCCGGATGTAATATTTATGATCAACTTAGGATTCGATGGGGTTTCTACAAAACCGTTACAAGAAAAACTACCTTAACAAAGTCAATACCTTGCGCTATTTGCAATATTAGTCGAGTAATATCCAGTCAAAAATTCTTTCGAAATGTCAAACGAGGCAATCTCATTTGCGGATAGAAATATGCAACTTTGAAATACACTAGATATTTGTGCTAAAAGTAAGTTTTTAGTAAATGCACGAAACATTCGCATATTTTTCTGGATAGTTGAACATCACAAAGTTTTAGTAAAGCGTTTCTCAAATAGGGTTCCATGGAACCCTGGGGTTCCTTGAAGTGAAACCAGGGATTCCGCCAGAGAAATAAAAAAATAAGAAGATAAAAAGAAAAAGATAAAAAAAGCGCTGATAAACACTTCTGACATACATTTATAGATAGAAGGGAAAGAAAAAAACGCAAAAACACAGCGTGCATCGTTTAT